AAAGGAGACGCACCCGTGAAGCGTACAGAGTAGAGAACCCTGGGTGGTCGAAACATGTCTATACACGGGCTCCGCAGCTACGAGTTGTGCAACGCAATTGCCTCATTGTTATTTTTCGCTCTGGTGAGTGTTTTTCGGAGTTGTTTCAGTGCAGTCTATATACCCTCGGAAGGTATTTGTCGTTTCGTGTTCAGATCCTCAAATTTGCTTTTCACTCTGCAAGCCTGCCCTGTCTATACTTCATCACGGTATATATCCCATAAACTTGACATTCTGTACTCATTTTACTTGACAATATCTCTCAGCAAGCCACTGCAACGTTGGCATCGAGATCTCGAAGGTCAGACTATCGAGCTGATGTTCACATTGATATGATTGATACATTGAGAAATATGATTAAAGCAATACGCACGCAGCGCTGAATCTAAGAGAGCCATTGCAAGATCTTCAAATCGTGGTAGCACTTTACGAGTAGCAAAAACATTGCAATGGCAATGCTAAAATGTGATATATACACGTAATTACTATTATCATAAACCATCCATATCCACACGCCTTGCGTCCAAAAAATATCGCGGTTCTCAAACGCCATTCCTCCTCACATAAACAACCAATCAGCCCATACCCAGCATCAACCCTCCCCCCAAAAAGCGAAGAATCCAATTCGCTCAACATTCCAGCCGTGCACACGCATTATAAACCTCTCAACAACAGCACACACCTACGGCTCCATAAATCCCCTGCCCTGCCCCGCCAACCCAGCCGCGTCTCCGGCCACGAAACCAGGCTGATTTAGCGCCCGGGCATCCATCTTCTGCGCACTACTTGACGCGAGGCTATCTTCGTTGCCCGAGAAGTAATAGGCCAGCCGGTTGGCAATAATGCTCAGATGCTCCGGGAGATATAAGCTCGCGGCGATGATGAGAAGGGAGAGCAGGAGGAAGAGTACAGAGTCTGAAGATTCCCGTTAGTGAAAAGTCACATATACATGGGCATGGATCTGTATATCCAATCGACCAATCTATCAGGGGAAGCAATCGCCTTTTCTTTCCTTGGTCTTTCCTTCCCATCCCATTCCCCCACGTCTGTTTAAAAAAGGGAATACACGTACTGAAGATGAACTTCTCCGTGGACGTCAACATGTACAGCGAAAACGTGACTTCGTACTGGTACCGCTTGCGCTGGAACCAGCGGAGCAGCGCGGCGGGATACAACATTACGGCGACGAGGAGCGCGGCGGCGGAACTGAGGATGGCGAGGGTGGCGAGGGATGTCGAATCCGGCATGGGATTGTTCGCGCTGGGAGGCGGTGGGGGGGTGTATGTGTGGTGTGGTGGGTGTGGGTTGGCGCGATGCTCGGGGTTGGAGGTTGTGAGGGTTGGAGTTGGTGGTGGAGTTGGGCGGCGGATGGGGGACGGGGGTGTACCCGATTCGGCCAGGTACGGGGGGGGATGCATGGTGCAAGGTCGAGAAGCTTCGGAGCAGGCGAGGCTTTGCTCGCTCCAAAGGAAATCCATTCCATGACGCATATCTCGAGAATCTCCAACAGCACCAAACTCCCACAAAAACACCACAACACACCCCCCAAGCAAAAAGGAAAAAGAAGAAAAAGGGAAATTCCCCCCTCAATTTCCTTCAGAATAATATGCTACT